TAGAAAAATACAGAACAAGAGCCCAAGAATTTTTTGAAATAAATGAGGGGTATAAGAATGGCTGCTGATAGATCTGGGAACGGTTGGTTTACATACGACGAACAATTTAGACTTCGCAAAGTGTCTGACCCACACTCATCTTGGGGTATCTTAAAATTTGAACTCTAGTTGATCCATGTTATCTTCAACTATACCACGCAGGCCCAAGAAAAGCCCATATCGCCCACACAAAATTTCTACTCCAATCATGAACAGTCCAACATTACAGTAGCTAAAAAAAAAATATAAATTCAATAACAAATCGTTACTGTTATGAATATAATTCAGGCAAGTCATGTAAATTTTACCCAAATTGAAGGTTTGTCCACTCATGCAATTCCTGTGGCGGATTTCACCCCTCAATCAAATGCAGGTATAGAAATGCCAAATTCTAACATGGATTTCAACAATTTAGGGAAAACTCTAATCGATATTTACATTTTGTCTACTGATATACAAGATTACAGTGCTAAATCTTTTTTTATAAATGGTTTTCTACACGGTTTTCGACTCCAATACAATGCTCCAAGAATTTACAGGGAAGCAAAAAAATTTAAAAGCACTATTGCAATTCCCAGTATAGTGGAACATAAAATACATAAAGAACTCCTGCTCTGCAGAGTGGGGGGACCATTTGAATATCCCAGACATCTACCAATCTATGTGGGAGGGGCGATATTAGAACATATATATAGTTATGGTGGGCACATTGTTGGGTAGACCGGTTGTCTACAAAGTATCCAACCTATGGCAATGTTTAATAAAAGTAAATTTAAAGAAAAAGTCAAGGAAGAAGTTAATCGATTTGGGTCGTAGCCAAGTCTGCAGGCCTGGGACCCCCCTCCACCTCTTGTATTAGGAGGGGATGCTAAGTACTAGAGTACTTGGGTCTTAAAGTACTGCTGACCAGAAGCAATCACCGGAAACAAGGTATACAGATATGCTCGCAACTCTGCCGGGCCCAAATGTCTAAAACAGCTGTACCTAAATTTGGATCCCAGGCCCCTGTGACCAACACAGGGCCACTGGTTTTGCCCGGTATTCTTTAGTCGGTATGCCAGTTGTCCTTCCGGACCCTATTCTTTATTGTACATCTATGCAATGCGGCCATTTAGCGCAAACTCTCCCTTTTTGTCCATCACAGTTATGAATGACACAAGATTGTACGTGCTTTTCAAAGTCTTTAGTAAATTCAATGAAAACCATACAACTGTTTTCTATTGCAAAGTTAATACCGGTATCAAGGAGAGAGCATAGTGACCCTATGAGCATAAGGAATCAAGTAGCAATGCATGTCAGGTCCCGCAGGACAGTGATTGCCAGACTGTTTAATTAATGATACATTGTAAGTCTCCATAGTACATGTATAATACGTGCATAATTTTTGAAACCATCCATCCTGATCAAAATTTACATATTTTGCTGCTTTGTTATAGTCAATTACATAATAAAACTTATTCTTCAACTTTTGAAGCTGTTCAACCGTATACTCTAAGAGATGTTAATAGTCGTATTGTGTCATGTTTAGGTTGATATATTAATTTTCCTGCTATTTTCATATTTGAAATTACTTCAAATCTCGGCATTTCCATGTATATGTTGTATTTTTCCTTTCATATTTGAAGTTTGCTCTTTCTTTTTTTTATACTTTTTTTTATTTCTCTGTGTAGTTGGTTTTTTTTTCAAATTATATTATATTAATCTTATCTTTTATCATTATCATTTCCTTCTTTTTTTAGCATTGTTCCCTGAATATTTATTTTTTACTATTTTATTTATTATCTTATTCTGTGTTGTTGTTTGTTTGTACTCTTATTTTCTTCATACTTTGGTATGTGTATACATGCTGAGTAATAAATCGATCTTATGTATATGTTATCTTTTCTTTTTATTCTAATTTCTTGTTAACAAAAACATTAATATTATTTATTACTGTAAATCACTTTTTATTCGCGAGAACTTTATTTTCGCGTAATTACGCGAGATGGTATGCTCGCAAAAATTTGATTCTCGCGTATAATAGAATTTCTTAAGATTATATAGAGTACTGACCACAATTCGTGAAAATTTTGTTTCTTTTATAAAGAGTCAATGACTATATCGCGAAAATAAGGTGTCGCGAAAATTAAGTGATCTACAGTATTAAATATTTCATTCATTTCATTTCAACTCTTAACACGTGTAACCCTGACCTTCTTGATGAGTGCATATAGTCCATGCATGCATTATGCCCAATCCAATTATGTAAATTGACAAAATATAATAAAATACGAATAAAGGTTTTGTAAGCAACAAGCTTATTAAATGATACCCCGCCTCCCATATGAATATAATGACAGTATCAGTGCTTTTTGGGAGTTGAACTATGTTCACACTCCCTAGGTCGTCACGCGGTTTCTAGCGCAGTAATTTTACAATGAATTGTATAGCGGCTGTCTTTGTGTTTATGTGTCGCCCAATTTACTCCCCTGTGATATTCAATAAAAACTCGCACCAGTCAATATAAACTCGAAGAAACTTTCGCAATAAAAATAGTCCATCTCATTTTTCTGAATTAATCTAATTTTCATAAATGATTTGAAGGTAAATGAAATGGAATTTTATTTAACTTAATTTGAGTAGCATATTTTTGTCATCTCTCTTGAGAAATGACACGTAAATTTTGATTTCCGTATGAAAAAAAATCCCAGTTTTCCGACATTTATCATTCGGCAATCCTCGGCTGACTCTACTACGCTCCATTACAAAAAGTGCGAGGTCATCAAAGGAGTAACAACTGGTCTAACTGGTTTGACAATGACGCGATTGTCTAAATAATGAGATGTTTACAAAGATGTAAGGTCAAAGAAACGCTAAGGTTTAACCCAGCTTCTTTCAATTTGTTTCAGCAATAAAGAGACAGAACAACGTTGCTTTAAAAAAAAAAAACCTACGGAAAATATCACTTTCAGACATTCATTTGCACTGACAAGTAAAATTATGTGTAAGACTGGAAAATTTTTGTCAGACCAGATACATGCAACTCATTTTTTTACGTTGGTAAAGGGAAAAAATAATAGCATTAAAGTTTGTTGATATTCGATCTCACAATTTCAAATGACATTAATTTTACATCCTTAATTTCATGAGTTTATCAGCATTCACTTGGTCATGTGTACAACACCAAATATGAACTTGAAAAATTGCAGTATTACATTATAAAATGTATAATTTGATTTTATTATATACTAGTAATTGAAACAGTTAAAATTAATGAATAAATGCGTATGCACGGACACAATGGTGTAATAATCCCAATGATCGATCTGTGAGAAAGATCGTTCCTCATGATTACAACTGTTTTTTTTTTGTAGTAGCTCGTTAAACTATGTCTGAATTTCAATTCATTTGAATCAAATCAAAATCACAATTTTTAAGTGTCACTCGCGTGCTGCAGTTGTTAAAAGACTTTGCTCTAGAGATTCAAAGTAAGGTTTAAATTGATCTTTACGTCGCAGGTTCGAATCTTGTGGAATGCATTTGGAGATAAACTCTTTTGATGAGACCATATAAACCGAAATCCCATGTCGCAGTATGTGCTTGCACAAAACGACCCTCACTACTCAATGGTTTTGAGTGCCGTGTATAGGTAAAAATTTGTAGACTTACATGTAGCTAGTTCCATCGAAAAGTGGTAGTGTCTCAATATGATTGAAAAATTATCGAACGCAAAACAAACAAAATGTAAAGTATTCAGATACTTACTTCTATATAGAAATTACTTGAAATGAAATTTAAAATGATGGAATAACAAAACTTGATGATTAAGTTATAAAGATAGATACATTTGATAAGATAGATAAGCACGGAGTTCTATAAAAATTAATTATTATGTCCGAAAAGAAACATTCGTACCCAAAAGAGAATAGCAAACAGTGGCGGATTTAAGGGGGGCGAAGCCGGCGCGCGCCCCCTAAAATTGTCAAAATTAATGTGAATCACAGTTTCTTCTAGAAAATGTAAATTTGCATACTTGGTAGACCTCATTTTTACCCTACAAAATCTCTAGAATACAGGAGCTTCCGGAGGCTTCGCCAGACTCCTTGCCTACTTTTGGCGCCCCCTTTAATTTCAATTCCTGGATCTGCGCCTGGCAAATACTTGTTTTAATCAGAGGAAGAAAAATGACAATGTAGCATCTGATGATGGTAACATCGAATATAAACAGTGTTTGTTTGTTTGTTTCTTGGGACAAAATATCTTGTACACATTCTAAAGAGAGTAGGGGGCGTTTTGATTCAAATGCTTCAGAAATATAAGGGTAGTGTTTGAGTTTGAGTAAGAAATGGTACTGAAAGAAGTTTGAAACCTACCCACAAAATAAGCATTTTCGAGTTTGGAAAATTTTTTTTTTGATGGTGGGGTTGTTTGTTTGGTTTGGTCAAATTGTTGAGGTAAGAATTAGAAAGAATAAATCCAGAGCTAAACTTAACTGTTCGTGCGCAATAAATATACAGTTATTTCAATGGATGGCGCTGTAGCTCTCCGGTCTGTCAAAATCTTTTTTTAGGACAGCTACAGTTCTGCAGCTAATTTAAGAGCAGTCCCATGATCTTGGCTATTCAAATGCAATAGATATTATTTTTAATGTTTTGTGTTGTATCTCTAACAAATCAGTTCTAGCTGACTTGAATCTGAAAGCATGAAACTGTTCCTATACTACCTGTGAGATCTTTCAGATAACAATGTTCAACTCCCATGAGTACTTTCAGTACTTTGATTTTCTATGGTTTGCTATGGGAAATTGCCCTCTCTATAATGTTTTACGGTACGTGTAAAGAGGAATAATTCGTTGTTACCCGTGTTATTCAGAAGCCGCCATACATCACTTCATAGGTAAGAATATAATGGCAGTGTCCATGTTTTGCTATGATACACCCTAAATATGTGTCGGATCAAAAAGTAAAATAGAACGTCACGATGTCATTGTGTAATAGAGATTCTCATCAAATTTCATTCAGTGGTATTTGAGGTGTTGTGGTTAAGTGATGGTTACCCCACTACAGCTCTGTTCTTTGTATCTATGGACCTCTCTGTTGTATGTTACGCGAGAATATGAGGACGATTGATTGATTTATTTGATATATTCCAAATTTTAACGTTCGTAAATGTACAAATTGACAAATGCGTTAATTTTGCTTCTCTTGATGTTAAATATGGTGTTTAGTTTTGGAAATGCCTCCTCTAGAGCCAACAAACTTAGACGAGATAACTTTTGATCTCAGTCTTACTTTAACCAAATACATGTAGATAGTAGAAAAATGAGAATGAGATCAAAAGTGAACTCATCTAACATTCATGGCACCTCGTCCCGTTCTAAGTTTTGTTAATAGAATTCCAATATTTTTTTTTTCTTTGAATACTTCTTACGGATCATTCCATGAATCTATGTTTCAAAATCATGTATATTAATGTCCGTCAAGTTCCCAGCACTAAGATAAATGACTATTTCCCTGCACTAAGAAATATCCCTGAATTTGCACCTTTTGAAAAAATAAACAAATAAGGACAAGACTGTGTCAATGTATGAAAAGTTTCAAAATTATTTACTTTTAATTAGACTATTTTCTGTCGGACAGAGCTCAATTAGTACAACTTATATTACATATGGTTTTGTCCCCGAGTTGTATTTAGTTGTAAATCAATCATGCTTTATGGTCTTCAGTGCTCTTCAGAAAATCCGTCAGTCTTCAATGCGTTTTGAGATATTCATCTGCAAAAGAAAACGAATGAGGTGTGTGTTTGCACTGAAAGTTACCTTAATATTAATTAGGTACAATGTAGCATTAATGTAAAATAGCATAACTATCAATCAAACAATATTTCCAAATAGCTGAATATTAGTACAATCTGTCTAAATAAGGAATTTGTAGAGATAGAGATTGAGTCTAATGATGTGTTTAAGCTATTACAAGCTTATACGTAAATGAAAAAGAGTTTACTTGTACTGTCCTTATAGTTTATGTAGGTCTTATAAATTAAAAATCAATAGTGATCTTCCTTAGGCCATTGAAGTTCGAAATATAAAATTTTGTTGCAAAAAGGCTTTTTGAAAAATCGCGAGAAAATGAAAATATTTGAGACAAACAGAAATATGAAAGGACGTACAGACAGAAAGACAAAGTATGTCAATGTCAAAGACAGACACAAATTAATTTCCCAAACTGTCAATGAAAGTGGTGGACAAAAACATGTGTTTAAGATAACTTTGAGTCATCTGCGAGTATGATTGTTTATTTTACTTACAGCTAACTTTTGTGAAGAGTATTGAGTATATTTGTTTTGAATATTTTAAAATTAATTAAACGAGTTTGCATTATCTAAGATTTTTTTCTGGTCATCATTGATGGGATCTAACACATCACTGGAGTTGCTAAGCTTTCATCAGAGTTGATATTTTAATTGAAATGTTTATTTCTTAAGCACAGTTTTTAGAGTTACTTCTACATTTATCGAAATAAAAATTACCCTTTTTAACCGCACCGATGTCCTGGTATTGATGATCTTCTATCCTTGTGACGTCTTGCATTACGTAATCTTCATTTCTAATGACATAAATATGTTGTTAAAAGTGAGATCATATTAAAATGATAAACAAATTAGATGTTTTTTTTAAAGAATGACTCACACAGGTCTTTTGAAACAGCATGTATTTGAAAATAATAAATAAATACAATAATTAAAACATTTGAAAGCGTAAAAGTTTTAGAATCTGAACATATTAAGAGTATTCTTGCCTTTTCCATCATATCTCCTCTTGAGGATGATAAAAGTTACAAGTCCAACACAGACGATGAAAAACACAGTGGAGATTGATGTCAATGCAGGAAAAAGGGCGGAGGACACTAGAAATAATTCATTTACATATTTTATATACATTTGTTTTGTTTAATTCTATGTTATTTAAAAATTAGCAATTTGTGTAATGATGAAACCCTAAGCTTTTAATCTGTATTTTGCAAGACTATATGTACAACCTGTTGAAGAAGATTTGCACGAGCTCTGCTGTGATTTGGCGTCCCCTGTAAAATATTGGAATGAATAAAAATATATATAGTTCTAAATTCCACAAATGGGCAAAATTTACATTTATAACATTAGACTTTTATACTTATACAATCTACCTTTATAAATCATTTGATTTTTTTTAATTACATATATTAAAACAGACTTGGCCTCAGCATAATTGCAGCCCATTCATATAAATTCTTTCTCTGGATTTAAAGCTAATATATCTCTGATATATATTTGATACAACATGACGCGATAGTGTAATAATTTAAAAAAAAATTGCTTTATTTAAAATGCTGAATATGAAAAGTTATTAATCTTTTTTATCTTTATACAAATCTTGCACGGAAACATCTAATTATAGGTAGTAAATTGTAAAATAATTTCCCGCAGCATAAAAAATATATAAGAAAATGCGGAAATAAATAACCCAGACAAACAATGCAAATATTATATGCGATATTTATGTTTTGGTATTTTTGTGCTTAGTGTGCATGCATAAAAAGTATTTTTGTGTTACATCTATATCGATTTCGAGCACTCATATAACTTGTATTTGGACAAAGGATAGAAAATGTATGTGTAGATTTTGACTAAGTCAATGTGGGTCATAGCGATAGATATGAAAGATTGGAATGTTTTTATTGAACAACTTAAAAAAAGGAATTGATAAAGTTTATCGTTAGTCTTTGATGAGTTGAATTGTACTATTGAATAGATTTACACTAAATATTTTAAACAATTCTCTATTTTTCATGACCGGTCACGGTAGCCTAGTGGTAGAGCGTTCGCTTCGTGATCGGGAGGCCCGGGTTCGATTCTCGATCGCGGCGCCGCGTCATACCTAAGACGTTAACATAGGTAGTGACTGTTCCTTCGCCAAGCGTTATGGTTAGAAGTGAAAGTATATTTTATGACCTTAAAAACGTAGATCCCGTGTCACGGTAGGCTTTGGCACCTAAAACCCTCACTGCTCAATGGCCCTGAGTGCCGAGTATTTTTAGGTCTAAATTTGAAGCCCTTCACCGGCATCGTTTTTCTCTTTCATTTTATAATTTAACATTCAATGTTTTGAATGATTAAAAAAAGTTAAACATATTTATTTGTATTTCATGAAGTTTTATGATATAAAATATAAAAACACAAAATGGTAGACAAATCAATATTTAATAAGTACGAAACTTCTTCCCCAAAAGATTTAAAGATTGTGATGTAATTGTTTATTTACCTTCAGGAGTAATGTAAAAAGTTGTCATAAATGATCCATAATCATTAAATACCCTCAAACTGTAATAACCAAAATCTTCTTCTTCTAGGGATGTCTTCTTCAAATGTACAGAAAATGAAGAAATATTTATACTGATGCTCGTTCTTTGAAAATCACCGGACAACGAAACTTCCGGTGATGTAGTTGTTTGGCGGAAGCTCCACTGAAAAGATGGTGTAGGATACGAGAGATAATTTGCTGATATTTCTAGCTTGTCATTTAAGGGAGCAGCAATCTGTAGAAAGGTTAATCCATCCATGGATCTTGGTCCACCTTGAATTGAAATAGCTTGATACAGAACAAATGAAAAAAGCTACAGCATATGAAATAGTTTCAACAAAATATACACCGATACCTTAGAGTGTAAATTTAATGCTTAGAGAAAAATATTCAAAATGCCATTAAAATTTTATTGTGAATATCTTGAAATTCAAATTTATTATGACTAATATAGATTATGTGCAGTGTCCTTAGCAGTTTGTTCAGCTCAAATTTTTTCATATTCTAAAATTTTTTTTTTTGCTTTACATATTCGAACTTTGACATATAGTAAATACAAATCAAAAAATTTAACATTTACAGTTAACATATATCCGTAATGGAACAGATGCAGTAGACCCCATTCGGTTTTCTGCTGTACATATGTACGGAGCTGTATGAAAACATCTAGCTGATTTTTCCGTGAAGTTCAATGTCTTTGTAAATGAACTGGTGCTGAATATTTCATTGGTTTTCTGATTCCGGATAGACATGTTTGTGAAACTAGCGCTATCGACTGAGCAAAACACTGAAAAGGAAGCTGATTCGTTGACTTCTGGTCCGCCATGAAGTCTAAAAACCAGAATTCTAGGCACATCTGAGAAAAAAAAAATAAAGCTTTAAAAATTTGGTCCAGAAATAAAGACAAACAAATCACTATATTTAAATATTAATGATAAATGTAATTGGATTTTTGAACATTAACAGCTTACATAGCACCTTTAACCTCTGGGATGACTGAAGGCCAGTAGGCACAACAGAGTTATTGGCCATACATATAATGTTCTTTTCGTTGTCCTCTTTGTTGACTGTAATGTTTAACATTGTTTTCACAGTGTAAGTTTGAGTTAAAGAGTCGATCGTACAGGTAATGTAAGTTGATTTTAAGCACGATCCCCGGAATATCCACCAGAGAGAGGCTGGAGGACGACCTCCAGAAGATGAACACGTGACCAACATCTGATCGTTTTCCTTTGTAATGGGAATCTTAGAAATCTCCGGGATTCCGGGTCTCACTGAAATTTTGAGACAATAGATGATAGAATGAAAGTCAGTGTGTTATTCATAAAGTTTCATATGATGTAAAATATTCTGATACAAAACATATGTGTAAGACTCTTGGTATGTCTTTTGTTTTCAAGTTTCCTTGGATATATCGAATTTGAAAATTTAATTGATTGTACGTCGTCAATATATATCTAAATGATGAATGGTGAGCAACAGAATAAACATTTTATTTTCTGGAAAAAAATATTGAATATATGCTACTACAAATGAATACAAAAATAGGTCTAAAACAGAGGGACACAATTTGGAAATTCCAAGAGATTGTTCAAAGACTTGATACAAAAATTCAAATTTTAACATAAATGCAAACGGGCACATGTATATTAAAAATTTTGCTCAGAATGTAATCAAAATGACTGATTTTTATCTTGATATACTGAATTCAAAAATTTTAACATAATATGATGCAAACCTTGAATTGAATATTTGAATGAAAAAATGAAATCTGATAAAATATTTTATAAGCTGGATCATTTATTAACAAAAGGATTTTTATCTTAGATAGAGAGATAATCCTTGAAAAATATAAATTTATACCTTTTATCATAAACAGCAATGAAAAATATATCCGGTATTTTGAAGCTAAAAATAATGAAGATATGTGGAAAGATGTGCCAAAAGCTGGAGTCACCTACTTACACATTGACCATATGGTACCAATTTGATGCAACAAATGATTTTGAAATGATTTTGAAGAAAATGATATACAATACCTGGTACTTACAGTTAAGGAATATTTGAACATTTCTTCTTATTGGTTGTGATAAAGCTGGATTGTATGCATTACATGTATAGTTCTGTAGATCATCGTCTCTTGTAGGAATGAAACTGTACACTGTCTTATTAAAGCCGGAAGATAATAATCCAGTTCCTTTATACCAAGACACACTGGTGTGATGATCCCAACCTGGTGACTGACATGACAGATTTATAATATTTTTTGGGGAGCCTTCTGTATTATTGACTCTAATATGAGATTTTGTTTTGCTTTCTACATACAATTTTCACAATGTCTAATATAATTCTCTCTTTCTATCTTGGTAAACATTATTCAGGATGTCAATTTAAATGTAAATCTATGAAAAATAATGTTGATTTCTGAAAAAAGTTTGTTTGTGTTATTTATCCTTAAGGTTCCATTTTCATTGTAGGAATCGATGTCTACGCTGGATGGAAGCACTATAAAAATATTTTTAAAAAACTATTCTAAAATACTTAAAAGAAATTGGAGACTTTGCCGTTTTTCAACTTAAAAAACAAAATGAAATAACTTTCAGATAACGTAGATATTTACAATAAAATTTAAGATATATCATGTGTTGTTTTGGTGGATTGGAGTTTACAACACACGAGTATTGCCCAACGTCCTCCTCTCTGGTTAGTCCAGATATCTTAAGGTCGTATCCCCCTGTGTCTGTGTTCCGCAACAGAGTTAGACGTTCCCCTTTAGACAAATTAGGGTTTTTCTTCTCATTAATAGTTAAGGTAGTCATTGCCGGTGGTCCACTCCAGCTCGTTCGTCCATTTTCGTCTGGTGGTGATAAAGGACATATCAATCGTATCATTCCTCCCTCCTTTCCGTAGGTTACAGCATCACCTGATTGGCCGAAGACTTAATGAGTTTTAGTATTATTTCAATGACCTTTAAGTAAATTCACACATATATTCTTGATAACATATAATGCTAATAATATATTTCCTTTAAGAATCTTTGGAGGTATTGCAAGATTAATGTTTTCATTATTTTATGAACTTCATGGTCAAGTTTATTAATTCTTTCTCTTTTAATTGATGTTAGTCATTGTCATTCCTTGCTTGTAATGTATAAGGAATGCATGGGTAGAAAGAAGAAGGTACAGTTTCAATACAAATTAAGCCCTATATTTTTCTAAAATATGAAAGTAATATAAAGAATAAAAATTCATTCTTTCTGAATCATAGGAATTCCCTACAGTACGAATTCACAATCTGTTTTTCTCATATGACCTCCTAAATGCTAATTATGACGTCATTAACTTGTGCATTTTCCGTATTTTCTTAAAAAGTTGCAGAAGACATCAATTTTAAGTGGAATTTTCTTTCAGAAAACATACCCTGCTACCGTCGCCCAGAAAGATTTTGAAATATGTGATTTTTCATAGCATTTTACATTTATATATCCAAAAATTAAAGCGGGTGACGGTGGCAGACACAATTTTCTAAAGGAAAATTAGAAAAGAAATGTGTAATTTTGGAGCTTTTCTGCATTAAACTTAAAAATTTACCAAATTAATGACGTCATATTTTCAGAAAGGCCCTCCTTTGTGCCATATTCTTTAATGATGTATCATATTTATCTTCTCAACTATTGTTAAAGCCAATTTCATAACTTTTTATGAACATTAAAGTTTTAGGGCACAATAAAGCTCAAACTGTACCCTGTTCTTTAAAGTTTGTTTTAAATTTTGAAGTCATAACGTTGAACGTCGTGAAAGTGCAACGTCATCAGTGAAAATTAAAATGAATAGCAGTTTTTGAAATGTATATATCATTTGCAGGAAAGAATTTAAATTTAAATGGAAATGCTAGTAAAAGCACTGAATCGTTAATTTTTGTACGATATAGTCTCAAAGCTCCAACGGTGTGTGCAGCACATTTTTATGTGCGTATTGAATTTGTTTGCACACATCGTTGCAATAATGGGACTATATTTTGCAAAAATTATAATATAAAGCTAAAATTAAAGGGGGGAGGTTAATTCAAAAAAATGCTTAAATTTAAAACATACCTACCATGGAATGAAAGTAACAAATACAACCCACAGGTTTTAAAAAACATTAAAGTTTTACAATAGATGCAAGAGTCATTCAAAAACAGCATCAGCAACAGCAACATATTGGCGCGAAAAAGTGTAAGCATGCTTAAGAATTATTTTTAACCATGTAATAATTTACTTCGTTTACTAAATAAAGGTTTTTCAAAGTGTTAAATGACATTAAAAAGATATTTTGTCAAAGTGTGAAAGAAAATCAGAAGTGAATGAAACGTTTATTTTTTCTTCCCTTTACAAAAAATGTTAAAATACTCCCTAGTTTATCCTTCCCGGCTTATTCTTTCACAGTTAAAATATAAATCATTATGATAAAGACTAAATCTGTCAAATTTCCTCAAAATATGTTATATTGAAATTCATGTTTACAATGTCTAATCTCTATTTAAATGCAAATACGTTGAATAACCTCTTTCTATATGCACTTATCTTCTTTCTTTATAAAAGCACTGATGACAGTAAAGGAACTCCATTGACTTAACATATTTATTACGAAGTTTAACAGAAAACACTAAAAATAAAATACTTTAAAATTTAAAGAGAGCCTGAAAAGCAAAATTCATAAAAACAAGCGTCTTCCTGAGCATTCATTTGTACATACCGAAACGCAACCTGGAGACTTGCAGAAGAAATAACAAAACACAAGAAATGAAAGATCGTGATTTAAAAATAATCTTATCCATTATCAGTTATTATGTTAAATGCTTCCGTGTCTATATTTGTAGTTTGTTTGTGTTGAATAAGTGGAAAAAATTAAGCTTTCATGTAAAGTATGCTATTTCGTAACGTTAAAATGACGTTTAAGGAGATTTTTCCTATTAATATTTATCATATTATTTTTTTTTTTTACACATTCAAGAAGACATAATCAATCATTGTTGATTTTAATTCTTTTAATTTTGACCCATTCATCGAAGAAATTAATGATGTCAGGTTAAGCTCTCTATCTTTGCTTTAAATTGATACCACTCCTATTTCAAAAGATTTTTTTTTCTTTTCTCATAAAAAAGCTGCAAGGGTTTGTCAGAAGATACTACCATTCTGAGAAAAATAACCGTCGATAAATAGATCATAACTATTCCCAACATATCGAATGATGCTAAAAATTCAGAAAAATGATATTAAAGGTAACTAAATACTTGTAGTGAATAATGAACACAAAAATGAAAAAAATCAAACAGTTTTGACTGTAAAGAAAAACACAATTAACATAACAGTCAAGTGATTGTTTTCTCAAAGAATGGGTGGACTTAACGCCCTATTTTGGATCTTTTTGCGACTCCTCTTACAATCTGTAAATGAAGTGAATCCAAAATAAATTATGTGCAATTGAAAGAGCAACATATACTTGGTTATATTAGGTGGAACATTTGTGCAAAAACAATGCCCTGTTGTCATGTATCAAAATTAAAGCAACGATACACGAGTGTCGTCTTCCGGAAGTCGATATGTACCCGGAGTGGTTTTTATGTCACGCAATCAATATTTATAGGAGGCGGGGCTATCGATCGGTGTCATTGTTGACATCTCTCTCTCTATCCCTCTCTCTTTCCAAAAATTCGGGTACGTGTTTAGCATTTTACAGCGATGTCAATATGAAATTATTTTAAAAATGTGATGACACGCAAAATTAAAACAATATTTAATTTGCTAAACTCTGAAAACGGCAACAAAACACGCTCAAAGACATGATTTAGATCGAGGTCAGGTTGAAGAATACAATGTAACTGTTTTCACGAGTACACTCGCAGGTGGACATCACGTGACGAATTGTATTATTTAACAAGTCAATCGAAGACATTTCAATGGAAGCGAGAAGTTTGTTTTGAACATGTTTTTTGTTAAATTAAGTATGAGCACACTTTTGTCGGCTCTTCTCCTTTTAATATAACATTATTTTGTTCAATATACAACTACAGTTTTCTTAAGAACAGCCAACAAACATGTGCTGACTATGTATTCAGACAATGGAAAAAGCGTGACCCTGATTATCTATTGATATTCAAGAAATCTTCAGACACCATGCCTTCGATATTTATTTAGTTTACCTCGAAAAGAGCGTTTTAAATTCACATCCGTACCATGAATACACGGTTAAGATATCGATGGTTTATATGATGGAAAAAAATTAACATTTTATGAAACTTAAATTTACGGCATTTTTTCTGGCCAGTTAAGTCCACCCATTCTTTGATTCATGATTGGACGCTTTTTAAGGCTCAGAAGATATTCGTGTGTTTAAATGCGTCTACATAGTCAAAATATTTCAAACAATGGTTCATAATTATTCAGTTTCGGTACTTCAAAGTTATTTCAGTATTTTGATAAATATTTTTAAAATAAAAAATGAATTTCATTTATTGTATTGTAATAATTCTTAATTAAAGGTTTAAAGAAAAAAGACGTCAGCATTCTATAAAAAGATTAGTTCCTTCTAGATTTGAAATTGCATTCAGCATCTCTATTTGAAGTCGTGCAATTATATTTAGAGAAAATAGAGGTTTTCAAACGATTAACATCTAAATATAAAAGGCTTTTCAGCCAAATTGTATCTAAATATATTAGGGTACCAAATTTGCTGTACAGTTGAATGTATGTTATGCGTTATTTCAGATCGATTAAATGATGTACAATGTACTGTTGTTGTTACCAGTTGAGACTTGTTTAACTGTCCGACGCCTATGATCAATATGCTATTTTAATTGGTTGACACGCTGATTGGTTAATCGCTAATCCTGATTGACAGATCTGTAAAGAAATACCGAACGCGCGTTCGCTCTGTAGGACCGCTACTGAATTTAGGGTTCGCTCTCTGGGTCCGCTTCAAATTCGCTCGGGGTCCCCTTTGGGTACGCTTCGAGTTCATAGGCGTCGGACAGTTAAACAAGTATTTTTGTACCATGGACTTTATTTTTTTTAAAAAAAGGGTAGATAATGTTTAAACTAAATTAAATTTACTTGAATAATTGATATATTTGATTAATATGCATTCGGCTTTCATCATAAAGTGTGCAATTCGGTTTTTGTTAGATTCATTTCTCCGTAAACAAAATAATCTATACAGTCAATTTCATAATAAAGAATTATTAAAGTTTCTTTTGAGTATTTTCTAGCGGACATTGTTCAATATATGTTTTATACGGTTTTGTTCCCGTGTTTTATTCAGTTGTAAATAAATCATGCTTTTTGGTCTTCTGTGTTCTTTAAACAATTAAACTTCATAAAATGTTGAGATATTTATCTGTAAAAGAAAAATAAATGAGGTGTATGTCAGTCATTGTGATATAAATAAGAAACCATATATATATATATATGCCAAAGTAACTGAGTATTACAACGATTTGTCTAAATCAGAAAATGTAGAGATATACATGTACATTTGTCAAATTGTGCATTAAAGCTTACACAAGCTTACATAGACATAACTTAAACAGTTTATTTACATGTACTACGCTTGTAGTCAAAATTATTATAAAATTTACGTATATATTCTCTAGCATTTCAGGAACATCTGGAAGTCTTCACTGGCATAGCTGATGTCTCTCAGATGGGTCGTAAAACAAGAAACAATCAGTAACTAAGTGGAGTTGCAATTTTCAAATATGCAGAATTTTTTAACCTCCTTGTTTTCCATTTTCATCATTTTCCACGTTTTTTTCGCAGTACTGCAAGTAACCATGGTATCAACAAAACAGATGAATAAAATCGCTTACCTTCAGAAAAGTCATATGAATATTTTATACATGCATACTTTACCTTTTGGTATGCTTTCCACTGGAATCCATTCCTACAATAAAAGAAGAACAAAGTCTTATTTATGACATTTGCCTTTTTATGTTGAAATGTTATTACTACGTGCAGGAAATGCATTTATTTTGAGATATTGCTAGAAAACAAAAGTATTTGAGACAGACAGAAATACGGACGGACCAACTTACTATCTTAAAGACTCATATAAATATATCTCAAATTTTCATTAAAACCGGGAGACAAAAACGCAGGTATAAAATAACATGGAGTCATCTTCAAGTGCAATTGTTGTTCCATTATCAGCACATAAACTTTATTTCGTGAAGATTATTGATAAGCAAAACATACGTGGTACCAAGTATTGCGGTTGCTAGTTCAACTTTCATCAAATTTGAGATTTTGATGGAAGTGATTATTTCTTGAACAAAGTTTTTACATTGATTTTTATGGAAATGATATTAACCTTTTCTAACTGCACCAATGTCCTGATATTGATCATCTTCTATCTCCGTGACGTCCTGCATGACGGAATCTTCATGTCTAATAATAATGACATAATTAAGCTGTGAAAATTGAGATCATATCATAATGATGAACAAATTACTTATTTTCTTAACTATTTACTCACACATATCTTTTTTAAACAGCATATATTCAGATAAATTAATTAAAAATATAAACAATGGAAAGCATAAAATACTTATTTTTTAGTATCTAAGCATGTTAAGAGTATTCTTGCCTTTTCTATCACATCTCTTGAGGAAGACACTGACGACGAAAAAACAGTGGATGTGGATATCAATGCAGGAAAAAGGGCAGATAACTCAAAAAATAATTATTTAACCTATCTTAAATACACGTTCCATGTTTTATTCCACATTGTTTAAAATATCAACATTTGGTGTATAAAACCTTTAGCTTTGATTTAATCTGTATTTTTGCATACTAAGTACGGGTACAACCTGTTATCATAGAAGATTTGCATGAGCTCTGCTAGGATTCAAGGTCCACTGTAAAATATCGGAATGAATAATAAATATAGTTCGGAGGAAATTTACATTGATAACAAGACTATTATACTAATTGACAAGTTCAATTTTATTATTATTATTTTTTTTTTTTTGGTTTTATTACGTATTTTCCTTAAATCTTACCTCAGTTGTACAGTCCATTCTGTATCATAACTGTCTGAATAGGAAGCTAATTTACTACATTTCTCCTATATATATTTGATACCACATTACGCGATAGTATAATGTAAATACTTTCCTTTATTCAACACATGTTTCCCAGAATATGAGAAAACATCAATACTTACCGTCATTTCAACCTTGCATGTGAGCATTTGCAGGCAGACAATTGTAAAAATGGCTTCCCACAGCATAAAAATGTTAAAATAAACGCGGAAATAATTAACCAGACAAACAATGCATATATATGAAATGACATTTGTGTTTTGGCATTTTGTGAGTTTAGTGTGCATACATAAAAAGTAATTTCGTGTACATCTATATCGATTACAACAATATTTGAAGTACTCGGTAAAGAGCTGTTTTCCTGCACTCATATAATTAGACAAAGGATACATAACGCTTGTGTAGATTTTGACTAATTGGTAATAAATATAAATATTAAAAAAATGGAAAATTTCTTTGAAGAACTCAAAAACGATTTAATAAAGACATTTATCGCGAATCTTTGATGAGTTTAATTTAAATATTGAATAGATATACACCAAATATTTTAAACAATCTGTTCATCATGAATTTTTTTGGTATTAAATAATACAAATGGAATAGATATTAGTATTCAACATGGAAAAAAATTCTTTAAAAGCCTTCTTTTCAAGAAATTTAGATTGAATTGATTGTAAAGAAAGTTTACCTTCAAGTTGTTGAGTAATGTAGAAAGTTGTCATAAACGATCCATAATCATTGGCTACCCTCACAGTATAATAACCTAAATCTTCTTCTTCTAGGTTTGACTTTTTCAAATGTACAGTAAATGACGAAATATTTAAACTGGTGATGGTTGTTTGAAAATCACTGGACAAAGGAACCTCCGATGAGGTACTTGTTTGTCGGAAGCTCCATTGAAAAGAAGGAGTAGGGTATGAGAGATAATTTGCTGATATTTCTAGCTTGTTATTTTTAGGAAGAGCAACTCGAAGAAAGTATAAGCCATCCAGGGATCTTGGTCCACCTTCAATTGAAATTAATTAAAAGAAAAACTTTAGCATAGGAATATTTCAACAAAACTTTTACGGATAATTCAGTAAGGACATATACAAATGGATTTAAAAAATCCAGTCAAAATATTGTATTTTGAATATCTTGGAATTTAAATCTATTATACGTATAAAGTATGTGCACTGCCAGGCAGTTTTTCAGCTCAAATTTCTGTCATATTCTAAAATTTATATTCTTTCTTTTGAATTAGAAATTTTATATTATAGTAAATACATATATCAAAATATGTTAACATACAGTGAACAAACATATTTATCGGATCCGATGCAGACACCCCTAAAGTATTTTCTGCTGTACATATGTACGAGGCAGTATGAAAACATCTAGCAGATTTTTCTGTGAAGTTCAAGATGTTAATAAAGGAATTGCTGCTATCGACAGTCTTATTAGTTTTCTCATTCTGGATGGATATTGTTGTAAAACCAGGGCTATCGACTGAACAAAAAACTGAAAATGGCGCTGATTCGTTGACTGCTGGTCCGCCATAAAGTCTAAAAACCCGAATTCTAGGCATATCTGAGATAAACGCAATTTTAAGTTTTCAAAATTTAAACCAAAAATCAAAACAGACATATCAATTTGTTAAATCATTTTGTAATTTATCTTTTATGGTAAATATCATTTATTAAAAAAACAGCTTACATAACGCCGTTAGTCTCTGAGATGACTGAAGTCCAGTCGGCACAACAGAGTTATTTGCCATGCATATAATGTTCTTTTCGTTGTCCTCTTTGTTGACAATAATATCTAACATTGAATTCACAGTATAAGTTTGAGTAGAAGAGTTGATCAAAGAGGTAACGTATGTGGAATTTAAGTATGTTCCCCGGAATATCCACCAGAGTGATGCAGGAGGACGACCCCCGGAAGATGAACACGTGACCATCATCTCATCATTCTCCTTTGTAATTGGAATCTTAGAAATCTCCGGGATTCCGGGTCTCACTGAGATTATAGATGATAAAATTAAAGTCAGTGTGTTAATCAAAAATTTTTATGTTGAGTAGAATATTATATGAAACAGATGTGTCAGAGTCTTGGTATGTCTATTGTGTTCTAGTTTTTTAAGATATATCGAATAAGTTTAATTAATTATACATGTACATGTAGTCGTCAATATCGTAATTCTGGAAATTTTTGTAGATAAATTTGTAGCAAATTTGCAAGCTCATCGCATTCGTAAGAGTATTTTTCTTAAAAATTAATCAACACCAAATGCATGTTTGAAAGAAATGGTATACAATACAAGGTACTTAGAGGTAAGGAATATTTGAACATTTCTTCTCATTGGCTTTGATAACGCTGGATTGTATGCAGTGCATGTGTAGTTCTGTAGATCATGGTCTCTTGTAGGAATAAAGCTGTACATAGTCGTATTAAAACCAGTAGAAAATAATGCCGAGTCTTTATACCAAGATACATTGGCGGCAGGATCCGCACCTGGTGACTGACATGACAGATTTAAAGGGGAGCCTTCTGTACCATTGATTCTTAAGATACCATCTTCATTGTAGGAATCAATGTCTATGCTGGAGGGAGGCACTATTAAAGTATATCTGAACATAAACACTTTTGAATATATCAAAAGAAAGATACGCCATTTTTCAAATAAAACAAGGTGTGTTTGTGAAACAATATGCGCCCGGCGACAACAAAATTCCACAAAACTATTTTTAGCATACAGATCACAGTCAAGGTAACAAGGGCATTGACCTTGGTGTCATTTAAAGGAACTTAGTGGAGTAAACATACCAAATCTGAAGTCTCTGCATCCTTTGGTTCAAAAGTTATGGCGAAAGTTTGAAAAAGGTATTTTTAGCATATAGGTCACAGTAAAAGTCACAAGGTCATTGGACTGATGTCATTTGAAAGTGCTTAATGAGTGTAGGATGCATACCAAGTATGAAGTCTCTATCTCTTATGGTTCAAAAGTTATGGCAAAGGTTAAAGTTGACAACAAACAGACAGACAACCAGCTAAACAGACAAACAGATAAACAAACAGACAAAAAGACAAGTCAAAAACAATGTACGCCTCAAATCTATCGATCCAGACGCACTAAAAATATAATAACTTTTAGATAAAGTAGATATTTACTATACAATTTTAGTTGAATTTTGCTTTGTTGTGGAGGGATAGAGTTAACATCAGACAAGTAATGTCCCACATCATCCTCTCTGGTGAGTCCTGTTATCTTTAGGTCGTATCCCCCTGTATCGTTGTTTTTTAACACCGACAAACGTTCTCCTCTAGCTAGGTTTGGATTTTTCCACTCATTTATAAAGTAGAGATAACTTAAAGGTGGTCCTCTCCAGCTCGTTCGTCCATTTTTGTCTGATAGTGAAAAAGGACATATCAATCGTATCGTCCCCCTTCCTTTCCATAAGTTACAGTTTTGCAACAGACTGAAAAATTAGTTTTAAATGACATTTCATTCTCCTTAAAAATGAATTCACACAAATTCTTTGTTATATTATAAGAAATGAGAAAGGTATTTTTCTTAATGAAGCATATTCTGGAAACAGAATCAAAAGCTTTAAAGCTTTACAAAATGATTATTCTATATGATATACAAATTTTCAAGATAATTATGTAATTTATATATAAACAACACACGTCAGGTTTTATTTTATAATCTCTCATGTCATTAAAATAAGACAGAAAAGGGATTTTATTTATTTGTAGGAAATTTTTAATCAAATACTCATTACCGTGGAAATGAAAATAAGAAATCCCACCTCTTTTTAAAACCCTTGCAGTTTCATGATACAAGTATATATAAAAGCTTTTCTAAAACAGCAACATCAACAAACTGTAGGCAAAAATATCAACACCTCCAATTACAATTTTAACACTGAAATACTATGTTTTATTTACTGAATGAGAGTTTGTCAAAATGTGAAATGGTAATAAAAAGATATTCTATCTTTGTGATCGAATATCAGAAGTGTGTCAATCATTTTTTTTTTCTCTTTAATTTACGAAGAGTGTTTAAAATACAATTTACTTCCTGGCTTATTCTTTCTCAGTTAATAATCCTTTACAAAAGACTAAACTGCCACATTTTCTTAAAATATGTTGTTGAAATCCATGGTTACAATATCATTTACCTGATGTCTTACATTGCTGAGAACCTTTCGCTTACTGATAATTTATTTTAAAACAAATGTTTCATTCGAAATCAAGTCTATATTTAACTGCAAAACTTTGAAGTTTCATATTTAATACGAAATTAAAATCTAAAACACTTTTTACGAGAGCCTGAAAACAAAGTGCACATACAACAAGCATTTTTTTTAATATTAACTTGTACATACCGAAAGGCAACGAAGAAACTTGAAGAAGAAGCAACAAAACAAAAGAATTAAAGGACCGTGATTTGTGAACAATCTTATCCATTACCATTTGACATGTTAAATGCTTCCGTGATTATATTTCTAGTTGGTGTATGTTGCATAAGTGGGGAAAAAATAGAGCCGAGCTCGTATGCAATTTACGCAACGAGTTGTTCTTCACTTTTGACATTTAGATCTCATTTTATATTTGTTAAGGAAGGAATTAGTTTGATAGAATCAGTAGTTTATTCCAAAGTCTGATGGTTGATAAAACTAGAGGTACTCTGAGCAATATGCTCACTAAATGACACCCCCGCCTCCCATATGAATAAAATACATTATATGAATATAGCAGTGTCCATTCCTTTGCTATGAGAAACCCAATCACTTAAAGGACCGGTTCGCGTCGAGAAATATTTGCAATGACGGGGCTTTGCGAACCTCGCGAAATTTTTTCGCAGGGGAATAAAAGTTGGTTTACAGTATATCGATATACGAATGCATCCTCTTTTCATTTATGTTAGAATCCTATTAGGTTTCTAATTTTAATCAAACAGAGCCATAGAAGTTATTTTCATATGATGCAATTTCCCGAAAGAGTTATTTATATAGAATTATCTTAAAATATAAAGTTTCATTTTTTCAAAACCTCGATTTATTACATTAGAAAAAATAATCCACCATTCGACAATCCCCACCAAAAAAAACTGACATGTATTATTTAGAGTACGAGTTTCCTACTGTATCGGAGATACAGGGCGGGGCTTGAGGCGAAAGCGATAGCTCGAGCCGGGCCCCGCCCTGTATCTCTGATACAGTAGGAAACGAGTATTCTAAATGACTTGTGACATGACCTTTCTTATGACCTCACTAATTTACATGCGTAGTTGGGTACATATCACTCAACCAATCAGATGAATTTGCAGAAAGCTGATTTATCCCATTTTAAGCATTTGCAACTGAAATGCCGAGTGAGGTGTACGTACAGGTATTTATCATTTTGAAATAGTTATTTAGGGGATGTATAATATATTTTTGTTTTCCAAAAAAAAAAAAAAAATTAAATTTAGATTTCATTACGTAGTGCTTTTTTCTCCATTCAGCTCTTTCTTACATTTTTTTTTTTTGATTTAAGCCTCGACTTTAATTAATGCAAAACATTTTGATATATAAGAATCGTGCAGGAATAATTTTGAAACAAAAATGCTTCGGGGTAAACGTAATCTGAGAGAAATGTCCGACAATCTCCTCCTCCGGTTGTCATATACAAAATTGAAATAAACAGATCAAAGGAAGGGGGCCCACACATATTTAACTTCATGTTTTTAATAGAATGTAGTGTAATACAGTGGCGGATCCAGAAATTTTGAAAAGGGGGGGGGGGACCAGTTTGAAGTCAGGGTAGGGGCCCACAGCCACACCAAAAAACATTGATTTATCAAATATTGTCTATTTTTTTGGACTCAAAAGGGGGGCCCGGGCCCCATGGGCCCCCCTCTAAATCCGCCGGTGTAACCAAAGGGGATCTGAGCAATCACTGGTGCCCCCCCCATCCCATCCTCCTTGATTTTTTTAAAAAAAATTCTTTTTCGCTTTCGTAAATGATTTCTGGTAAACTTGTATGCATACGCTTTTTAATTTATCAACAAGTAACGATATCACGCACATAGTGTCTTGGTTAGATACAAATCTAACCCCACGAAATACGATTTTTTCCACTGATTTTTTTTATAGGGGGGGGGGGTGTTCAAAGTATTCGTTTGTGAACTGCCCCACTCCCTCTTTTCTTAAGTTTTTGAATACAACACTATAATAAATTTACGTTGTAAAATTTTATTCTTAATTCAACTCAAATTTGGAGTAAATACTAACAGTGCTACATATATCATGCGAATTGAACGATTTTGTGTCTGCATATACAGATACAGCTTTCCGTCATGGCTAAAAATAAACCGTATTGTATCGTTGATATTTTGCAGATACAGTACAGTTTCTGATCATTTGCATAAGAAACGCCCACAAAAAGTGTTCTGTATCGCAGTTACAGTATGCTTGACTTCAAAGGAAAACTCGCCGGGTCATGTCACAAGGACAGGTAAACCTTCCATGAAAATGTGACATTTCCTTCTTAAATCGTTCTCTATCAAAATATCACATAAACTAATACTTTATCGCCATTTAAGCAATGAATTATTATTTTTTTAGTGATATAGTTTCATAACTGCAACGGTGTGTGCAAACAAATTGAATAACGCGCGTTAGCGCGTTATGAAAATTTGTTTGCACACACCGTTGCAGTTATGAAACTATATCTCTCAAAAAATAATGATTCATTGCTTATATTTACATTTTTTAAACTTTCTATCTTAACTGCAAATGTGATTTCTATTTAAAAACCTATGTATTATCCTTCGTGTACGCTACATTTAATGGATCAGCCAACGTAACAGCGTCTGGTCAATTTGAACGTGATTTTTTGATTTTCGCTTGTGACGTTACACTTCCTCGGCGTTCAACGATTATGACGTCAAACTAAAACGTATGTTTTAACCTCTTGGTACCCTGTCTGTGTTATAGTGTTTTGAATGCAATAGATTTCCATTCATTTTATATTCAAAAAATATATGTGATGTAAATATTATAACTTGAAGCTGCCATTACTAGGAAGTGGCATTTCGAACAGCTAGTACCAAAACCACTTGCCTTAATTACGATCAGATTGATTAATTGATTTTTGTAATTTGACGCCGAGTAACTAAAGAGCTCATTTTATTATTACTGTAAGTAGAATTTTAAACGACACGCATACTGTTAACGTATAACCTTTAGCGGTATATTCTATTCAGCGATTTTGGCGGAAAGCTTAATGTCTTGCATAGCACGCTTTTATGTCATGCACATTCAGATAGCGCTAAATCAAATATATGCTAATTTGCTGAAAAAGTAATTTCCACCTTATATCGTACACTCCAAATATAATACATTTACAGCATTTAGAGAATCTTCAGTTTAATGCCTTTTAAGCAAAGAGTTATTTATCAATTTTGTGCTGTCTTGAAAGGTAAAAGTAACCTTAAATAACAAAAATGAATTGTTAGCGATAAAATATTTCAGCCAAGTAATTATAAGCAACATCGCAAAAAATGCCTTTATATGTCTTAACAAATTTCTTTTTATCAACAACGATAGTCGCCTGGGTGGCGCAGTGGTTAGAGCGTCTGCTCTAGAGTCGCGAAGTAAGGAGTCAGTCCTTACGTCGCGGATTCGAATCCCACTGTGGGACGTGGAGGCCTGTCCTTCGGATGAGACCGTATAAATCAAGGCCCCGTGTCGCAGTAGGTAATGGCACGAAAAAGATCCCTCACTGCTCATAGGCCCTGAGTGCCGAGCATAGGACAAAATTTGTAGCCCTCCACCGGCAAGTGTTGGCGTCTCCATATGAGTGAAAAATTCTCGAGAGGGACGTTAAACAGCATACAATCAATCAATCAACAACGATAGCAACGTGTTGTTTCCACATCTTCCCGTTTAACACTCTTACTGCCAGAACTGTGTCTAATTTGTGCAGTTGATACGCCAGAACTTTTGCTTACATGTACAAGTATCAGAATGCATTGAATATTCATTTAATGATAAGCAGCATCCTAAACATATTTTTTAATTGTACAAATAACGAACACAGGGACATTTCAATTCTGATATAATGACGTCAGCTTCTTTGCTAGTATTACACTGTAAAAAATGATGTTCAACTTGTGTTTAATTTTTAAACAGTCGTGTTTTACAATTAAACATAGTAGGTTTAAATACAAAACACTAGCGTTTTATACATAAACACTGATGTTTAAATTGGTGTTCAATAAGTAGGGTGTTTAATCATCCGTCTTAAACACGTAATATTCATATGCATCAAATCAAAAAATAAATTAAGTGTTGCTTCTTAGTATTTGCTGTATGAATTTGTCATTTTTACAGTGTCTTAATTTACGAAGTTATTCCGCACATAATATTAGATATTTATCGACACAGAAGAAAATACGAATAGCAAGGCAATATGTTGACTTTAGATTATACCAAACGCATTCACAATTAACATTAATTGGTAGTAATTTTGTGCCAAAATTTCAAAATTTTCAGAAACTGTTAAAGAGGAGATAGAAACAAATATTTATATGATATTTTCTATAACTGTATCGATATTTTAATCACCGGTGTTTAACACGAGGGTTCATTTCTTAATCATATATATTTATAAATTAAACACATGGTATTTATATTGAAATTGCAAATTAAACACCAGTGTTTAATATGTTATGATAGAAAATGACGCAGTTGATTATGTCATAACATGCCATTTGAACGCAGAAGATGCAGAATCACGCACATACTGACAAGAAACACCATTTCTAGCAAGGAAATAAGAGGTATATTTATACATTTCTTTACGTAAAATCTTTTAAAAAAGAATGTTGAAACATTAGAGATCTAAAATGCTTTTCATTTATGAAATGCAGGATTGATTCCTATAGTTAATAATCGTTTGAGTGCAATCCGGCCATGTGTAGAGGTAGACAAATAAATACTTATGTAGTCTTGATATCTAATATCTAATTTTAAAATTTGCAGGGACATTCATCTAATTCTGTGAGTCCTGAGAACGAAGATCATACTTAACCGTGAGAGGTGAGTCTTAAAAGAACCCCCCCCCCCCCACACACACACACACCATTGGGTCCTGATAAATGAAAATAATCCAATTAGGTACCTACCCTTGCTAATATTTATGCTCCTTAACATGCAACAATACCACATTCGCACATGTACTAGCTGCAGATCTGTAGCGTTATGGTTTTTATGTATTTGTCTTTGGCCATAACTAATACATAAAACTATTACGCTACAGATCTGCAGCTAGCGCATCTACAAACAATAATTTCATCTCCAGCCCGTGCACATACATGTATTCTTTAAGGAAACTTTACTTTTTTGAGGGAGTGTGATACATGATAGAAAATGCCTTGGGACAAGGTAGCCTCCCCCCCTTCTCTTAATTTTTGCTGT